TAGATGAAAAGAAAAGAAAGTTCATGATAAAACTTGATAGAGATTATCCACAGTGAAGCCTTGAGTTGTTCTTCTTCTTTATCCTCTCCAAAAGTTCTCCTTTGCCTCCTCTCAGGTCTTTGGTTGTTACTAAATCGTCCCGGAATTATTGAAAATAACCCTAGACGTCCCTTTTAAATGAAAAAGATCCATGGGCCTTTCTGGTTTCGAACTGCTCGCTAAATTCTAGCTATAGCGAGTTATTTCTATCGAAATAAAGTCACTTCTCGCTAACTGCTCGCTATATAGCAAGTTTATGCAGCGAGTTAATGTGCAGATTTCTTATTTTGGGCATATCTTAGGTTATACTCGTTCAATTGATGTGATCTTGGTCTCGTTGGAAAGATAAAAGAGAGATATACAACTTCTATGAAGAACACGAGAGCCAAATACATCATCTTGGATACTAAAAATTGGTTGGAACATAACTTTAGGAATATTTTCATTAAATGACTACTTGGTTCTTGAAATATCACAACTTCAACTTTTCCTCGACTTCTCCCGGCTTCCTTGACCCATCAATGTTGTGATATAGCATTTTAAACCTGAAAGCAATAAAATTTGAAGTTAAAATCATGTACAAACATTAAAACTCAGAAGTCTTTTGCATTTGTTAATATACACTATGTGTTTGACCATTTATAACAACATTTCTTATATTTTTGGCCCTAATAACATAATGTGTTTTACACCTATCAGATATAATAGCCTATCATATCTTATCCTTTTCTATTGTGACCACTAATCAGGCCCTAATGTATAAATAAGTCAAAAGAAAAAAAATGTTAAGATTACGTTTAAAAAATAGGTTTAGTGTCTACCATGCAAACAAGAGATAAATTATTTTCTGCACACACATCGAAGTGGGTGGAGCCCTACAAAGGGAAGAGAGAAAAAAAAAACTAAGATTCATTCACTTCCATGTATGTGCAAGATATAAAATTGTCTCTTGCTTGTAGAAAAAATATTAATCCCTTAAAAAATGATATAAAATTATGCTATAAAGAGCATTTTTTTTCCTATTTAATTTATATCCTGACATTACGTGAATTATTTCAAACCTGAGATAGGATAATGTTGTCATTTCAAAGTGTGTAACGAAACAAACATGTGACAAGATATGAGTTTATTGCACCGACATTACATGGTTTCCTTCAAATATGAGATAAGATAACATTATCATATCAAAGTGAGTAACAAATATGTGACAAGATATGAATTCATCGTAGTAATATCATTTTAAACTTGTATCCACCTCTTCTATATTATTTGGCCTTATCATGCCTTGTCCTCTTAAATGTTTAAAGAATAAAAAAAATTATACATAAGGAATAAAATTTTTAGATATATCAAGGATGGAAATTTTTAGATATATCATCTTTGGGAGGGGTTTAAAACCTTAATCCCAGACATGCCCTGAACAAGATTGACTCCCGATGAGAATATTTGTGGTTTATCCAAAAATAAAAAATGGATGGAAATGTTACTTTTAGATTAATTTAAAATATATTTAGTAATATAATTATTTATGGAGTGTATCAGATTGGGATTTCAAAGGATTTTAATAGATTATTTTTGGACAAAAAAATCCATTGGTATTCAATTAAGATTTTAAAGGATTGAAAAAAGTCATGTGATATTCGATTAAGGTTTTAAAACATTATTTTAGAGTCCAACTAAACCCGTTGGTATTCAACCAGGATTTTAAAAAAAGAAAAAAAAATTGTGGTATTAAAAAATCTGACGATTTTAATGGATTTTCTATTAGTATGAATTTTGTGAGACTTTTTAGTATGAAATATAAATAGGATTTCTCTCTCACAATCTCACATTAACCCTTAGGATTTTTTGAGATTTCTCTATTGCAGTGTCTTCTTATTTCTTTCGCGGCTCGACCCACTCGAAACCGCATTCCGCCATGGGAGCTTCGTTAAAGCTAAAAAATAGCAAATTTTTTAGAGTTTTTGGAAGTTTAAAAAAGATTTTTCAAGCTATTGGTTGCAATTTTATTTTATTTTTGGTAAACTTGGTCGCGATTTTTCATAGCACAAAAATGTGTGATTTTTATATTAAAAACAACTTAAAACAGTGGAAAAATAACAAGGGAACAAAATCCCTAAAATCAATTTTCGTTTTACATCGATGAAATACGATCAATTTAAAGAAAGATTGAAACTTTCATAATATAAACCCTATGTTTCATATCATGAATGAAATTCCTTCACTATAGGAAACAATTTCAACTAATTTTTTTGTCAATAGATCATTAAAAACTTATTTTTTTTAAAATCCCAAAGCAATTTAATTTAATGTTTCAATGTATCGATTGAAAATAATTTGAGAAATTTTCTAAACTTTCATGTAATAAAACCCAGAAATTCATATTCAAAATTTTCTTGGAATACTCAATGAAAACATGCATATGATATATGGTTAGAAAACTCTTATTACGTAGAACACAAATTCCAAAGTATACAAGATCATTTGCAAAAAAATTCAAACGAAATTTTATCATGAATTTTACTAATTGAGAAAATTATATTTGGTTTTACTTTTTTTATTAATATGATTGCATTTCTTTGTTATCTTTTTATTGACTCTTGTAATTTTGAATACTTGTTAAAAAAATCATATGATATTTTAAAATCTTAAAAATTCATATTGTCCTTTCAAATCTTATAAATTCTATTAAAATCATTTAAAATTCAATCTTATGAAATCTTGATTGTAAAAAAAGTCATTTAAAAAAGTCTTTAAAGTCCCTCGAATTCTAAATAGTCTTTTAAAATTTATAAGGTTTTTATCTCAATTTTTTTTTTAAAATCCTAATCCAATACACCCCCTTAATATTTTCTTAAAACCTTTTTCAAATTTTAAATAATTGCATAAGGAGGTAAGAATGAGAACGGAATATAATAATTAACTTACAAGATAACTTTCACTTATCTCAAAATATACTCATTCATGATTAGAATAAAAATTAAATATAAAATATAAAAATATTATTTTTTAAATATTCTTAAAATTATTTTTTCGTAAATAACTTGATAATCAAACACACACTTAACCTTCTTTTTTTGAATGCAGTATGTGTTTGAGTGATGTTGTACTCATTGCAAAGTGAACAAAAATCACATAGATCAGTTACGCAGATTAAGAAACAAAAAAAAAAAAACTACGCCATTTAATTATTTCGATGAAAGGCTTGATATTAGCGGGGTAAATGGGATAAGCCAGCTCAGGCTTAAGTAGTTATAAAACTCGGCCTGACCTGGCCGAGTCGACCCGGAACCATTTGAATCGGTCATCGGATCGGTTCGCATCAAGCATTGGACCGGTTATACATTGACACGAACAAACCCGACCAAACCCGGTCAAACCTGGTGACGCAGTGACCCGGTCATTAAAAAAAAAATCAAAAAATTAAAATTGTTTCATCTTGTAAAAAAAAATGTATAACTCATTTTGAAAATTTTTTATAATTTTATTTGCTAGTATACTCTTGTACAATGACCTCAAATTTCAGCTTCTAATACTGAAGCAATTTGCAGAATAATAAATTAAGAGAATGTGACATATGTCATTTTTAATGTAGTTAAATTTGAAAATATGAGTTCAATGTCATTAAGATGTATGTTTATAAGGATTCTGAGTTGCAATTTAAATTGACATAGTAATAGTATGCATTTTTATTTATTTATGCTTCTTGTTTTTGAGTTTATTTAATGAACCTTGTTTAATTCGTTTTAGATATAAAGAATATAATTGAATTTATATGTTAATTTATATATATATTTTTATATATCTATATATATCCGAGTCAACTGGTCCGACTAGTGACTCACTGGTCCGACCAGTGACCCAGTATCCCGACCGGGTCGATGCCCGGGTCGGGTTTAATAACACTTATAACCTAACCTATATAAGGCTAGGTTTGGCTGATTACATATAGTCAAATGAAGCAGACTTAGACTTTTAAAAAAATCTATTTAAAAAATAGGTCGTAGGCTTTTTTTTAATATGTCAGGCCTGTAAGCCTTCATGTCAGCCTATATCATATTATTTATTCTTAGTAACTGGAGATAAAGCTATTTACAGTGAGCTCAAAACTACATCGTTTTAGGGTTATAGGATTAAAAATTATAATGATAAAATTACAAAAACACCTTAATTTTCGCCCCAAAACGACATCGTTTTGAGCTCATCGGAGATAATTTATCTCTATTGACCGGAGAAATCCTTTACTCTTATTCTAAATAAAACAAATAAATTTATTATTTTAATACTTTTTAATAATAAATTAATATTATTTTAATTATTGAATATTTAATAGGATTAAACAGGCTAAAATAGCTATGTCAAAGCTTTTGATTTTTAAAGATAGGTTAGATTTACACAAACACAAAACTAACAAGTCAAGTTAGACTTAAAATATTTTATACATATCCAAGCTATTTAAGTCAAGGGAAAAGATATTGTGACAATCAAGTTGTGTTACTACCAAGTGACTACCAATCAATCTCACCGATAGATCGATTATGTTGATCCAACGGTTATATTTATTTCTATCTTTGTATGGTCATGATTTTCCAAATTTAATACTTTATATTTATTTTCACCTTTGTATGATTATGATTTCCCATATTTAATGCTTTCACTTTAAATATGGGGAATCATGACCATACAAAGATGGAAATAAATATAACCATTGGATCAACATAATCGATCTAACGGTGAGATTGATTAATAGTCACTTGATAATAACACAACTTGGTTGTCACAATAATCCCTAAGTTAAAATCTAACATAACCTAACATATTTACATTATAGACAGAACAGAAGATTCCAAAGAAGTTAATCACTTTTTTTTTTTTTTTCTTTTCCATCAATATATGCACACGTTAATCAATTAATTCAATATAAACGAAATATATCAACATAATTTACGTAACTGAGAAAACTCAAAAAGAAGAATAGAACAAAACAGAGCAGAAGAGGTAACTATCTGAGAGAAAAAAAAAAAAAAAAAACGAAGAAAACTCAGAAGAAAAGGTCGTTGCTTTCTGCTTCACTGCGAAGATGAACGGAGGCCCGTCTGGTTTCAGTGCGTGAATTCTCCTTTCCGAACCGTATAATCGTTTGGGGTGTTCATATTTCACACCCCTTTTATGTTTCAGTTCTCTCTCTGTGACAAAGTTTTTCCCTTTTCGATTCGATTTTATATTCAAATGCTTTGTTATCTTTGTGTGTGTCACAGTAAATGCTCCCGTGACAAGGGCTTTTATCATCGCCTCGGCGCTTTTCTCTATCTTCTTGGGGATCCAGGGCCGTTTCAACACTCTGGGGTTGTCATATCAGGTGCCCCTTTGCTCTCTCTTTTTTTCTTTTTGATTTTTTGTTCTGTTTTTATTTTCTGTAATTTGGCCCAATGTGTTATTTTTCGGATGTATGTGCAACTGGGTTTTGCTTGTAACATTCATGTATGTTATTGTTAGGTATGAATTGGGTCAGTCATTTGGTTTTGAAATTTGATTTTGACCGTCTGGGTTTATTTAAAATAAATTGAATGCAGTTTTTGTTTTATTTAATAATTTTGATTTATTTTGAGTTGCCTGGCATATATGTCACTTTGTGATGATAAGGTATGGGATTTGATCTCACGGGGAAAATTTCCATTGGTGTGAATCTGAGCTTCAGATTGAGTTCACTGTTTCTTTTGAAATTGTGGTGACTAGTGAGGGATAATGCTATCAATGAACAATTCTGGTGGGAGAATAAATAGCATGATTTTCTGGCTCCTAATCATGATTTGTCCTCTGAAGTATATATAATTATATATAAACACTGAAACTTTGTTATCTCTCACATAGACCCGAACATGTTATGCATTTAATACGTAGTCTTAATCCGGTTCTTCTCTTTCTAACAGGATATTTTTGGAAAGTTTCACATTTGGAAGTTGATTATGTCCATATTTTCCTTCTCATCAACACCAGAGTTGATGTTTGGACTGTATCTGCTATATTACTTCAGGCTCTTTGAAAGACAGATAGGTTCCAATAAATACTCGGTAAGTAATTTGTAGGTTAAAATTCAGGAGTTTATATGCTTTCTCTAGATATATTTTTAGAACCAAGGCCTGGCTAATAAAAAATTAAGGTATATGATTTGTTAGATTGATGAACGCCATCCCCTAAATTCAATTGCTGAACCACTTTCATGTTTTCACTGCCTTTTCAATTGTCCCCAGTTAAAAGTAACCACCAGTCCATCATCAACATATGCATTGATGCATTGTCAATACTTTTATGTTCATTTTTCAAATACCATATCTACCTCCATCTTTGTTTCTCCATCTGCACCATATTATGGCAACCTTACATAACATAGGAGAGTGGGGGAGGGAATATTTTGCTCTCAGTGTACATTGTATGTGGTTTTGAGACATCTGCGTTCACCCTTTATGCAGGTCTTTATTGTGTTCTCCATATTAATTTCACTACTGTTTGAAGTCGTTGCTGTAGCACTTTTAAGAGGTATTATTCTCAATATTGGTCATTATCTTGCCTTTGAACTCTTAAACTTTGTTTAGTCTCTCTATATACATTTTCTTGTGATACTTGCTTCATATTTTTGGTTGTGCACTCCCTGTTCATGTGCTGAGTTTTCCTTCTTGACTGTTTTTCTTGTCTTCTGACTATTTTTGCGCCTATCGAGCCTTTTCAAATACTGATTTAGTGGCGGGATATATAAATTATCTGATTCTGAGGAAGCTCCCTTTATGTGAGATGTTAATGCATATATGAACTTGAACTTTCATAAATTAAACCTCATTGGTGCCTTAATTTCCCAATTCCGAAAGCAAAATGTCTCTATCCCATTTAGGAAAGGCCCAGAAAACTGCTTGATAGTAAACATATTGGAGTAATTTGTGGATACTTATTCTTTAATTTGATAGAGCTTTTTACTGTGTGTAACTTATGGATACTTATTTTTTAATTTGATAGAGTGATTCACTGCTTAAGATGTTATTATACGGTCAATTATGTGTGGCTTTATTCACTTCGACATATAAAGCATCAGCCAATTTTTTATTTTTTATAGTAACTCGTGCTTATTCTTACTTTGAAAGTTATATGTTCACTCTTTGCAGATCCTACAACGAACCTAGTCACTCCTGGACCTTATGGCCTTATATTTGCTTCATTTGTACCCTTTTTCTTTGACATTCCAGTTTCAACACGGTTTCGTGTATTTGGTTTTCACTTCTCGGATAAGTCATTCATATATCTAGCTGGTCTTCAGGTATAGTAGAACTGAGTTATGTTGCTTATATAACTTATGCATGTCTTGAACCATTCAGCATCTGAAAGCTAATTTATTTTATTGTAGCTTCTTTTATCATCATGGAGAAGGTCCATCTTACCAGGGATGTGTGGCATTCTTGCTGGTGCCCTGTACCGTTTGAATGTCTTTTGTATCCGCAAAGCAAAGGTAATTTTAAGTCTGAATGCTCTGTTTTCTTAAGCTAACAAATCTGGATGCTCTCCCTTCTAATTCTCAACCTCTACAACTCTAACCACCTTACTGTTCTAACTAACTGACTATTCTCTGACCCTATCAATATATCTTAAGATTGACATAAAGTGTACACTTTAAGCAAAAGTTTATACCAACCATTTGATCTCAAGTTATGGTTGTTTCAATTTCAAAAATTTGGTGAGCAAGATCAACATATTAATTACTTATAATTCAATGGTCGATTCATTTAAGCCTACTTTCTATATGGAGTTATATACATTTATTAATACATATACATCACATACTTTTGGCTGTTAAATGTTTCTAAAATTTGACATGCAATATCAACATATTAATATAATTAGTGCTTAAGTTTTTTTAAGCCACGTTCTCAATGGAGTTATGTGCACACGTACATTTTAAACATGTAAATCATTTAATTACATGACTTTAGTTGTTAAAATTATTTTGAAATTCTACATGCAAGATCAACATATTAACTACTTATAATTCAATGGTCAGATTGATTCAAATAACTTTTCATGTGGAGTATGCATATTTTGAACTTTGTTTCTTAGAGGTAAAACCAAATTTGATGTCTATCTAGTAATAGTATAGATGCTATGTTTCTTGCTTATAAGTGGCATGAGCTATCTGTCTTTATTAAGATCCAGTGACAGTTTTAGGAAAGAACTCTTGTAAGCTTTTTATAAGTTTGTAAACCCATCTTGAATCTTCATGAATATTATATATAGGATTTACCGATTTACAGACTAAGTGCTGCCTGTCCTTTTAGCTGTTAACCAAATGATAGTTGGGGGTCATGTTCTTGTTTGAGATATATGGTGATAACAAATCACGATTGTGTCTAACCATTAAGGATATATAGATATCTGTCTAGTTTCTACATGCAAGTCTGCTACATGATGTATATTTGTCTTAATGAAATGTAACAACCATGAAAAAAGTTGGTATTTTTTATTTTTGGACTAGTTTTGTTTTTCCTTTTTCCTTTTCTCTTTTTCCCAATAATGTGAAGCTATTACTTTAAAAAACTATGCATTATAGATTCTTATACTTCAACTAATTACCGGGACGTTATTGTTGTTACTTGTTTGTGCTTATGTGGTCATTACAGTTCCCAGAGTTCATCTCATCATTCTTTTCACGAATTTCATTGCCATCTATGGGGAGTCCACGTGCAGCATCCAGAAGGAATGTTGTTGGGAACGCACCATCCTATCCACCTCGCCAAATGGAGGCAAGTTTTACTTTGTGCTCAATATGCTGTTGCCTTGGAATTTGGATATATCACTATATTGATTCAGGTTGTTTGTAAGAAGAGGAAGGGAGGGGGGAGTCAATTGCATAAATACCATACACAGTGCAGTAGTAGTTTGGAGTAACTTTGGTGCTTGAAGGGCGGCTGTTTAACAGCCATCTGATTATAACTGAACAATATGGAGCTTTGCTCGGATTCATTATCAAAATATATGTTTTGTTGAAATGTTTCTAATATATAGATTTAGCTGAACTGAAAAGTTTGCCATACAATTAGTTATAGTGATCTATGGCATTGCATTCAATGTTAACATTCCTTGGCCCTTAATATAGGATAAACCAATGAGGAATATATAGGAGGATACTGTACGTTTTGAAAATTAGTATCATTATTTTTGGCTGCCCTAAGAATTATCTGTTGATTGCAGAGAAACTACCCTGCTCCAATGCAAGCTGCAGTAGAACCAACTGAGGACTCAATCACTACACTTGTTTCTATGGGCTTTGACAGAAATTCTGCCAGACAAGCATTAGTGCAGGCCAGAAATGATGTCAATGTGGCTACAAACATCCTACTGGAGGCACAGTCCCACTAATTCCATATATGTTCTGCATAAATGAGAGCTGGATTGTTCTGAATTGATAGATGGAAGCCCAATCATGAAGTATTGGAAATTCACTAATTATGAGATGTGAGGATGTTTGTGAACTTCAGGCATTCATGGTTTCATCCTCAAGGATTCCTCCTCTTCGAGGAACGTTTTTTCCCACCTTAACTTGAATCTTTAGATTATCCATTTCAGGACTGTTATTGATAGATGAATGAGAATTAGGAGCCTGTACAAATTACTTGCAACATATGGAAAGCATGCGTATCATTTTATGAAATGTGAACCATATATTTATAGTGGCAGGCTCTTCTATGCAGTTTGTTTAAAGCATATGGAGCCCAGTTCCATGCTGTGGTCTCTGAAAGCCATTAACAATGTCACTCTGATGAGGTCTGGTTACTGTCTACAGTGGATTTTCTTGTTAAAAATCACAAACTCCTCCCCTTCTCTCCCTCTCCAAATACACACAAATTAAATATTATTTTTTTTAAAAAAAAAAAAATCTCATACTGTGCTTATGCCATTGGTTTTAATTTTGGAGGTGTCCCCTTGAAACTTCCCATTTGTTGAGGTTAATTTGGTCTCCTTCAATGTATTGGGGTGGAAAATTCAAGATTAAGCTTTATGTGGAAAAACTATACCTAAAATTTTGACCTACCATTTCAATGGAATGTTAAACTAATCCCCTTTACTGTAATCCTATTTTATTTCCTCATCATTTAATGGGAGCTGCCTGCGTCCATGCCGCCTTTCACATGTGTAAGTTAAATGTCACTGGATATTTTTAACGACCGGTTCGAATGGTTTGAGCTCATCATATATGCAGTCCTTTGTTCCACAAAGAATTAATATGTTGAACCAAAGTGAATTGGTTCAAGTGGTACGTGTTTGATTTTGCTTAAGTAAGATTTTAAGTTCAAGTTTTTGTGAATATAAAAATTTCCTTTGGTGAGAGTTCATTCCACCATAATGTGAATATTTCCGACTCGAACTGGATTTTCTCCCTTAAAAGATATTTACTGAACTAAATATAAAAATTAAATGCTTTACTGAACTTTACCTATCAGCTGATATCTGCCAAAGTTGAGAGGTGGAGCATTTAAATATTTTAAACTAAAAAATAAAAAAAATCACCTCAATTTTATTATATAATATTTTAAACATAACTATATGACTTGTATAGTTATGCTATGCAGTGTATTATGCTTTTAGTTAGGGGTGTTCATCAACCGATCCAAACCGATTCAAACCGCGGTAACCGAACCGAAAAATCGATAACCGAATAAATCGAAAACCGAAAAATCGAAAACCGAAAAAAAACCGCAAATTTTAATTGGATTGGATCGGTTTTTGGATGAGATGATGAAAACCGATCCAATCCCAACCGATCTAATATATTAATTTCCCTCTACCTAATTGGGTCTTTTTCCAATCATAGTTCAAAAATTTCTAAATCAAAGACCCGTTAACTCATCAACTAAACCCAAAAAAAATCTAGTCACATCTCATCAACAAAATTTTATCTTTGTAGAACTTCATTTCATTGCCCAAAAAAAACCTATATTATAGTTTACTAATGATTTTGTAATTCAATTTTTTTTTTACAAAGCCAATATATATAAAAGATGTGATTTCCATAATAATCATGAACTAAATTTTAGGATTTTCAAAAAACCGAAAACCGATCCAATCCAAACCGAAAAAAAATTGGATCGGATTGGATTGGATTTGAAAAAAAATTCAAACCGAATGGATAATTGTATGATCAAATCGAAGGGATTGGATCGGATGATTTTTGCTTCCAAAACCGATCCAATCCAGACCGCGAACACCCATACTTTTAGTAGACTTGTGTGGTACAATACATAAGAATTTCTGGGGTGGGGGTTCCACTAGGGCAGCTGCTTTAGTTCAATTTCTTAAGTTATAGTTGAATGATGTTCTTAGCCAATTATTTGGACTTCAGCAAGTATTTCCAGCACAACTTGCAGAGACAATTTCTTGATAACGTCTGATGATACTTTCAACAACTATGACCTTAATTGAGGAATCAAGCTCTGCCTAATAGCTCACAGGTTAAAAAAAAAAAGAATTAAATCACCAAAAAAATTAATTGGAAGGGAAGGGAATGGGCTAATGAATGCTACGCATGAAATACATTGGTATTCAGGTCATTGAGGATTCATTCATCTATAGGATAGATTCAAACCTTTGCGCCGATTTTAACGTGTAGCCAGTCTCTTCACACCCAAGAAATAATTAGCAGATTAAGAATAGAAAAAAACCAGGTACAATCGAGAACATTCTTTTTCTTTAATAGAAAGGAACATGATCCTTAGGGGAAAATCATCTGAGAAACTAGCCCTAATATTGGAAACCCAACCCATGCCTCACCATTTACTAGAAACGCACAATCCTTAATCTCCCATTATAGCTCCTAAAAGTCATTTCGGAACAAGCAAAAAAAGTGCAAAACTATATAATCCTCCGTTCCATAACTGCACTGGAAAACTTGAGCTGGTCCGAGGAACAAGACTTTAATCCTTCCTTCCATATCTTGATTGGCAGCAGACCAGCTTGAAAAACTTGAGCAGACAGGTCCAAGAACCATGAAAAGAATATAGGTGGCATCCCCTATTGAGGAATTAGGACATGCATAAGGTGGCGCCATAAGAGTTACACAGAGCTTATATCTACCCGGCCTTTTTGGAGTTGAAAAGCAGGGGTTATCCAGCTTCCGCAGCTGCATTGTATGCCTGCCCAATTGAAGTATCCCAAACGGGCATCACAATGAGCACAGGACAGCTTTCCCTCCAAAGCGCCTTCTTCAACTGAGTGACAAGAGATATCAGTAAAAAAATACTTGGCATTTTTATGCATATAGGTGTATACCATTGTATACCACCAAAGTACCTAATATGTGTATACATGGAGCATTCTACTCAAATGACGTAGTCAAGAAAAACCATCCCATAATGCTTCAATAGGCCAAGGCAAGAAAAAAATTGGTAATATACACTTCAAAATGTTATAAAAGACCGCTCTTAATCGTTTATACAAAGTGATGAGAACATTCTGCACAAAAGTGCAGTTAAAGTCACAGCTCGATGGAAAAATAGAGACATTGTAATATTGTAGTTAAATGTTTTCTTACCAGCTTTCATCCATCGTAAAGGCTCAATAAATATGGATGAACACTCAGATTCATCAGACTTTTTAAAAGGGTTGCCACTTCTCCGCTTGTGCCACTCAAAGGATGTCTCACCCTCGCCAGGAATATGATCTACGACATGCTCTTGCAATGCGACTACCCGTCGGCATTTCTTACAGCGATATGTAGGACTACGAATATTTTCTACTTTGTTATCTTCTTCCACCTCTGAAGAAATTTCGACAGGCATGCCAGGATCTGCACCGAGTTTTGAACTGTCTATCCCCAACCCTGAGAAATGATTCTCCCCTGAAAAAGAGAGACACATAGAGACAGAGACAGAGACAGGCATTACTTTCCTCAGAAGACATAAACTAGTAGTTAAAGTGTTAAACCTCATTTATTTTCAATGCCCATAGTAGATGAAAAGATCGACATGGGCACAAAATATACATAATACCAGAACAGCAGCCAGAAGGAACATATAACTAACTAGGTAAAAGCTTGAACCATAAAATATAAATAATAGAATGGCAATAGTTTTACAGACACAGCTCTAACTCGAAAAAATGACATATGGCCAGCAGTGACCCAAGAAAATGAATCGAATGGTCAAATATTGTCTCCAGCAGCACTCACTCACAACACAAGTACGCCATGAAAACAATCATGACATTTAACCTTGTTTTTTACATTCCCCATAATTCACATTATTGTCCTTGTATTTTGGGTGAATTCTATTACGCAACCATAAAAGTGACATAAAGTTAAAATTAAAATAAAGAAGAAAAATGTGAGTTCTATCATTCCAGTAATGACACATGACAAAAAAGTACGAGGTGTTTCATGTTACCCCAAAATAAGGTGTAGCTTAGAACCACCTATATTATTTCACATCAGTAAAAATTCAGTGCTATAAAAAGGACATGAGGTACCACAACAACAGGGAAGTCAGGGAGATGAGGCCATACCAAGTATTTTTAGACGAAAGCGCTTGTACACAGGGCTAGACTGATCAACCTTGAAACCCATCTCCTCAAACATTTTTAACTAAAAAAAGAGAAATAAATAAATAAATAATGTCATAACTCTGATTGGTAAGTATAACAAGTTTAAAAAAAAAAAAAAGATATATGCGGCACCATATAAAGTGACCTTTCATAGCACACATACCTGCTCTAGAAAACCATCATTGGGGCAAACAAATTCACAGCTCTGCCTTAATGATTCAAGGGCATCTAAAACGGAAAGAAGGAACAGTATATAAGTTAAAAGACATAGAGATCATTCAATTATTTGTTTCAAAAATAAAATATAAAATATTTCAGGACAACACCCAAATGACACACCATTTTAAAAACTGTATACCTAAATGTCACGTTTCCGAAACTTTTTTCCAATCTGCCACGGACAAAGTCTCGCTATTAGGCCCATCAAGACACTTTTCGTCACATAGCGCATCCTTCAAGACCCGCTGTCAAACACAACAGGACAAAGACCCCTATAGGGTCCAGCGGGGTTCAAGACCTGTTGTGTCTGACAACGTGACGCACCACGCTACGTCACGGGGCACAATAGTACTGGGTTTACTATTGATAGCATGATGAGTACGAGAGGTCTTGAAATCAATAATCTATAGTAAACCCAACAGTGTTGAACCTGCTGGGTTAGCTACGAGTCTTTGTCATGCTATATCTAACAGCGGGTCTTGAACGCTTCACCACGTGACGAAAAATACCCCATGTGACCAGTAATGGGATTTTGTTTGTGGCAGATTGAAAAAAAAGTTTCAGAAACATATCATTTGGATATATTGTTGTCAAAATCGTGTTATTTGGGTCGTTGTCCAAAGTATTTAGGCCATTTTGAAAAGACACTGACATACCGGAATGGATCCTCTCTTCTGAGATTGAGGTCAACTGAGAGGATACATTCCCCTCACATTAACTTTCTGCTAGTGTATCTCAGTTAGCTTAAAGCAAACTATAAATTATTGTAAAAATAAGAAGAAAGCTACTTGCAAGTACCAAATGTGTAGTGCCAGAAGACTTTAAACAAAGTATTGGTTTCGCACCTTCTTGAGATAGATGTTCAGTTCTCATCAAATACGCTGTAATAACTGCCGCACTGCGAAAGAAGGGTACTTAACACAAGACACAACAACTTACAAAAATCTCAACCAGATCAGCAAAGAAACTCGAGAACGTAGAAAAAATGATTCAAAGTGATTTCAGTTCATGCGATAGAATTAAAATTAACATGGAGAGATTGATAACAGAAGCGTAAGAGTGACTGTTACCTTCTGGAAACTCCGGCGAAACAGTGGACCAAAACGCAACCTTCCTTCCTACTGCGATCAATGAAATCGATGCAAACGTCTAAGAAATCCAACAAATCCTCGTTCTCGGTGTCCCTGAGAGGCACAGCCATCCTCACAAGCTTCAAGTCGTGGCCGGCGTACTCGAGCGAGTAGAGGAGCTTCTCCGGCGACAGGGCGCTCTTGGCGCCGACGTCGACGCCGCCGTCGCCGACGTGGACCTTCCGGATCTCCTTGACGGGGATGGTGAGGCCGCTGCGCCATTCGGAGAAGAAGGATATGGATGCGGAGCTCAGAACGGAGAGGATGTGCGTCACCTGTTGAACGCCGTCGTTTTGGAGGATCTCCGCCGCGGCGCCGATGTTTCCGATGAACAAATTCTCTCGGACCAGGTAAGGCATCACAAAGAAAATTTAAATTCGATTCGATTTTTCTTTTTTTTAATTTTTTTTTTTCAACTTGGAAATTGGAAACTGATGATTCACGACAAATTGGGGAATCAAAAGAAGAGAGTTAACTTGAAATTAATAAATAGTGATTGTTGTGGGTAACTATTGGGCCCCACGTATCGAAGAGTTTATTAATTGCTATCTTCTTTATGCCTTGGGTCTTGGGATGTGGGCCCGTTATGTACTTAAAAACTTCAAAGCTCCACATTACTTTGCAGGATCAATTTATAAAGTTCACTGACTCGGCTAATATTCAGTGACTCACTCAAGTCTTTTGTTTAAAAAAAAAAATTATATATACAAATTATATTTTTTTTTTACAAACTTTAGAAATATATAATATAATTTATAAAAAAATATTCATAAATAGATCCTTTTACAAATAAAATCTTCATTTTTGAAATGTGATACCATGTCATTCGTTATCGGAACAGTGTTCATTTTGCCACGTTTCATCAAATTATTTATCACACTGTCATACTAACAGTAAAAATTTCCGAATGTCACGCGGGATAATTCGCTACACTCTGCAGCGAATTATGCTTGCAAATAATTCGCTACACAGTATAGCGAAATATGTCATGTTAGGCTGTACAGTCAACAGTAATAACATGCGTCAAGCAGCAGTAATCCGAGCATAATTCTCTGCACAGTGTAGCAAATTACTGTCTGCTTGACATGTGTCATTTTTGCTGACTGTGTAGCCTGACATGACATATTTCGCTATATTATGGAGATAATTATTTGCAATCATAATTCGATGCACAGTGCAGCGAATTATGTCGCGTAACATTTAAATTTTTATTACTATTAACATGACAGTCTGATAAATAATTTCGCCGGAACAAAATTCTCATTGTCCCTTCGTTATCACTACTGGGAACCGAGTAATGATGCTTGGAATTGACAAATAATGTAAACCGTAGACCTCGTTTCTTCCTTTTAGTTACATATTCTAAAGTGCATATACGTGGAGAATTGTAAGAGGAAGATTGAGGTGTTTTTTCTCGGTCTTTTTTATGGTGATCGAAGATTATTGGAAACTCCTCCGTGTATTCCAATTGACTAGATGATAGTGTGATGAAAAAGGCAAAGTATGCAAATAAAAAAATGGTACTAAGGGTGATGAGACTACATATAAAAACTTTAGGATTTAGAATTTGTAATTAGTCTAATTATTCGATTAATAGCAATGCCATATCACAAGTTCAATACACACACCCATAACATTAATGTAAAATGAACAAAGAGAACATATATCATGAAGTCACCTTCTATGACAGTTCATGTGGGATGATACAAGATATTATGTCCTTTTCTCCCATTACGCGCATGACACGCGGGTGTCCATGTCAAGCAGCCAAATTGCACACCACTCTACTCCAATAATAGTGGGACAATTGTTGGATACATAGTAAAATCCTAAAATGTCAATATTCTTGGTATGGTATGAGTGTGATTCGTGCACCCATCTTTTTCCCACAAGTGATGAAGGGATAAAACCTCATACGATATAACAGATTTTTTTATTTCTCCTGTTCCAGTCATCATGGAGAAGCGTCCAAAAATCGTTAGATTCATGACCTTTCAGCCCCTCAAGAGGCTTGGTAATCCACCTACGCTAGCTTCCCTTTTAACGGTCCAATATGTGACGTACAATATCTTAAAACTGTGTGATAAAAAAGACCCTCATCCAAAATGAATGAGTTAAGCCCGATAAATATAAGAGAAATGACTCATAAATTATATATGTTAAGGTTTTGGGTTGGGATATAATATTAAATATCCTTATTATGAATCTGTCGTTTAGGCATATTTGATACGAGAATAATTATTTTTCCTAATTTGGCGCTACCCATCAAAAGAGAGTGTCCATAAGCAAATTACTCTCCCACCTAAGTTGTTGAAATAAAATATAGTTAGAAGTCGTTTGTTTCACCTTTTAGAAAAAGTAATTTTTATCACTTTCTTATTTTAAAAGTACTTTTTACAAAAGTTAAAATTATTTATATTTTTATAAAAATATTTAGTTTTTGAAAAAATATTTAACTTTTGACTTCTGATTTTCTTAGAAATTAAAATTTTTAGCTTCTGAAAAAAGTAAATTTTTGACTATTTTTGTGACTTCTCCTTTTTTAAAAAACAGATATTTAAATGAACTAAAAACGAAAAGTACTTTTTTTCTTAAAAAAAAAAAAAGCTAATATAAACGGGCCCTTATTCAGGTTTAATAGATTGCAGCGGTTTATATTATGAGATGTGGTAAGGAATTGATGAGTGCTTTTTGTTTGTACATGGAATTGTCCCAACATTATTTGGTTGTTTTGATGAAGTTAAAATTGTGTAATCTGAATGTGCACATGCACAAGTATACTTTCAATGGAGAATGCCATGTTATGAATGCTTGATTCTATTAGTATACGGGGAAAGTGTATATCATTTTAAATGATATAAAGTCGTGTTATTTTAAGTGAGAGAAAAGATAAATCATGAGAGAGAAAATAGAGAAAAAAAAATTTTAAAGATGTGGATCTCACTTCTTCGTGAAAGTGAAATGATGTAAGGTGTGTCATTTAAAATGACACATCTTCTTCCATTTAGTATATGTATTGTGTGAAGACGAAGACCAAGAAAACTTGCCATAGATTATTCCTTTGTACAAATATTGTTGAATACTTAATTGCTGGCCAAATTAAGGGAGTTTGGTTAATGATTCTTGCAAATATCTGAGGAACTATTTAGTCCTTCAAGTAGCAAGAGTTCATCACAAGCAGGCTTAGTTAGATGTGTCAATTATAAAATTGGAGATATTAAATGTTGAAAGATATAAGAGCAGATTTAAGTGAAACTAATCGCAGTTTTCCAAATGAGTAGGGAATTTGATTCTAGACAACAAGTCTGGCACAAATGTTGGTTGAAAGTAATTGAAAGTGCATACACATGGGGACGTGGGTTCCATTTGCATACTCTTAAGTCAAATAATGGAAGAACTGTTGACAAAAAATAACATTTTTCCATTTCCTTTAAAATTGGTGGTGCCAGTTCTATAATCTGTCCCATCTCAAATATCAGCATTCAGGTGTGGCCTTGCATGCATGTCGCACCTAGGGTGTCTTGCCACATGGATATCATTGCTTAGAAAATTAGAAAGATAGTTAACATAGAACAGTGAGCAGGCAGCACTAAGCAGGTAGTGATTCGCAAACAGCAAAAAAGTTACTCATGGAATACATCGTAAGCACACACCAAGTAGGGTATGGTTTTGCTCAAGGTCACATCACAAGTGTTGGGTATATATTAGTCCAATTGCTTGATGAATAGGAAAATAGATATTCAGTTTCTCACGTACACACACACATTTACAAACTTCTTTTATAAATTACATTAAGTATGACCGGTCATGTATTCTTGATTGAAGTATGACCGGTCATACTTAGTGTAGTTTGTAAATAAAAAGTTTGTAAATATATCTTTCCTCATATATATATATATATATATATATATATATATATATATATATAAATCTTTTTCTTATGTTGTTAGAGAAGAGTTATCTTATGTTAATGAAACAAAATTATAAGAGGGACCCACAAATGATTGGAGAGAAAAAAATAGAGGTGAGACCCACCTTTGTTATGTATGTGTAGGAAGATAGGTTATCTCATGTTGAATAAGATAAATATAACATACATATATATATATGAAGCTCAGTTTTGGATCAAAACTCTACATACAAACAAGGGACTTTTGATCGATATAATGTAAAACATAAAACATATCACCGATTTTTTTGGCAAACTATTTACTCCGAAGTGAAATGTTCATGGAAAATGTGAGCATTTAAGTCATGTATCACTACCATGAAAGAATTATGCAAAAGTTAGCATGCAAGTGCAATACGTGGTAGGCCCATTTTGGCTTTTGCACAAGCCTACAAATTATACTCCAAATGATGTTAAAATTATTTAGAGGGGATAGTCTGTATTAGAGAAATTACTTCAACAATATTTTCAGTTCAATGAAATATCCACAAGAAATTGAAACATGCAATAACACATAGTTAAAACGTATTGTACAAAAAATGAATGCAACAAGAGAGAATCTGAGCCCAATTAATGTTAGACAATGTATCATTAAGACAATTTTTCCCTCTCTATGGTGCCCAAAATTCGTGGACTTATGTCTCCCCTGATAGAATGGATTATCTCTATTCTTATAGCGACACTTCCACATTGAATAGCCCTATTGGTAATCGATCAAACACTACTTGAAAACGGCTATTCTGCTCAGAAATGAAATGTTCCAAATGTTCCTGAAAATTCTTGCTCCCTCAATCTATGTTTAACCAATCGCACTACAATAATAGTATGCAAATGCAAAGAACTTACAAAAACTAATATAGAAAAACTTCTCTTAAAATTTCAATTTCAATTTCTATTTATTAATAAAAACCGTAAGGTGATGATTTAAACAACACATACGTTCAACGACGAAAAGACATATATGTTCAACGACAAAGAGACACACATTTTATGTTATCAAAAAAAAAAAAAAAGAGACACATTTTTTATATCAAACTTCTTATTCATAAACATAATTAAGTCAAAATTAATTCCAACACAAACAAGTGTGCTCGAGGCGTCAAAATAAAGTACACTGGTACCAATCCACTCACTAATGGCATATCAACTCACCTCGTCTCAATTTTGGCGAATTGAAGGTGGGTCGGCCCATTTTTTCAACATTATATCTATATTCCCATCCCTCCTCCCTTGAAAAAGAAAGAAAAAAAAACAACAAGAGAGAGTGCACAATTTGGTAATTATTCTCAATCAAGGGATTAAGGATCTACTCGTAGTTTGATGAGTATGCCAATTTATACCTGGAAATTTAAATCACCATGAACATAGAGTTATAGTACTTGATTTCAGCCAAAAGCTTTCAAATATAAATCTTTTAAGAGTCCTTGAGCCTTAATTTTTGTAAAGAATACGGATTAGGTATATAATCAAGTGATCTTAAGCTGTCAAATCTAAGAACCAACACAATCCGTGATCCACCGAAATAACAGACAAAAGATATGGTAAAAGTGGAAATATTATATACATAAAGTCTTGGGTTCAGTGAGATGCAGAGTAGCATACTACTAACTATTGCATTATTTGATAAATCCAGATGCAACCTTAAAAGTGACACACAAAAAATTATAGTCCGGAACATGAACCATGAGCATATGCACTCTCCTTATATGGTTCCTGTCAAATATTTCACATTTTTATAACATCAGAAAATCTAAAAGATCAACTTCATCTAGCAATAAAACGCAAATACTCTAGTTAGTAAGGATTATGATATGGGCATAATACAAGCACAGCTCATCAACAAAGTTTGTCACTATTGTTTCCTTGCCCATTAATTTGCAAGCCAGATCCTCAAAAAAAGGGGTAGACTTTTATCACAGAGATTATGCAATCCAGGTCTCTATACAAGATATACCTTCATCATAAAAGAAACAATGTAATCTAGATTTCTATACAAGATATCTTCTACAGTTTCAATTTTTTAGGAACCCATAATCGCCAAGGTGTGCTCTAATCTGTTAACAAGAGTCTGGCCAGAAATTGAACAGTGTAACACAGATTTTTTTTCTTTTTGAATTTACAAAGCCACAGAAAATCACAACTTCTTAACATTGCAGAATAATATGTACAAAGACTCATCTATTGGCTGCATAAATAATTTCACCAATCCTGTCACAAATCTATGCTCCAGATAAAGTGACCGTATCCTAACTATCACTGCAAACTTACATTGATCACAATAAAATCCATCTGCAAGGGTAACCTTAATCAAGGACGTTCAGACCAAAATATCATGCATCCATGGAAGATTGGAAGAAAAAAAATGATGTTCTTGGGGGGAGGGCAACTGCATATATTTAAATTGTATGAAAGCACTTTCTGTTTTAGAGGTTGTCTTATCCTCTCCCCTATTTGCACTTCACTTTTTTTTCTCAATGAAATTTCTTCTTGTATCAAAAAACATGTAAAGTAAATTTACAAGAATATCTTTGAGGAGCATTTAAGTGAAATACATAACCCATTAATGTTCATACTGAACAGCATGCAAACTAAAGCTGCTTCCAAATAAAAACTACTATAATTGTATACCAAAAAAGAAAAAAAAACTATTATAATTGATCAGGTAATTGATTACTATAGTTACATCATTAGAAAATTGGAAAAATTTCATTTTCACCCAATGTGATTTTATGATTTATCACTTGATTCCTTGTGATTATAAACTTATTGCTTAGATCTATTGTGCTTAAATAATTTATTATTTAACCCTTAGTGGTTTCAAAATTTTTTTTTTTTTTTTGGTACATAGTGGTTTCAAATTTTCATTTACACTTATTGTGGTTACAAAAATATATTTGTATTAAAATATATATATATATATATATATATATATATATATATATATATATATATATATATATGTCACTTAGAGTCTTAGACCCCTCGTGGTCTTATAAATATAAAAATATTAACTTTTTTCTAAAGTTTATTTTATATAATTATTATATTATCAAATAAAATTAATAATTAAATATTAAATTAAAAAATATTTCTAGTTATTTATTTTAAAATTAATGTATAAATTATCTTAATTTTTATTTATTTTAAAAACATGTTTAAAAATTAAAAAAAAATATTATTTAAGTTAAATTAAATATGTATTATCAAAATAAAATATTTATTTTCTTTAGATAATTTTATAATGATATCGGATAAAAAATAGATAAAATAAAATAATATTTGATTTGAATTTATTTTCATGATAAGAATAAGTAAATTTTTTTAAAACTTATTTTCCTTAAATGCATTAGACGAGGATATAAAATAAAAAAGAGAGAAAATAAAAAAAAAATGTATATGTATAAAATTATAAGGATGTAATAGATACTATTATTAATTTAAATTAATTTAAATTTAAATAAATAATTTATATTTTTCGCTACATAATTTTAATTTATAATATGGTAATAATATAAGATAAAAGTTGAGAAGAAAAAAAGATTATGTATATATAAGTGATGCATTTTTATAACCACAATAAGTGTAAATGAAAATTTGAAACCAAGGAAGATTAAATGATAAATTATATAAACACAATAGACCTAAATGACGAGTTTAAAATCACAGAGATCAAATGATAAATTATAAAACCACAATTAAAAAAAAATGAAGTTTTCCCTGTGACAAACAAAACCCACTATTCTTAGGGTGTGCATGACAACCTTCCCGGAATCAATTCTTTCTTAATTTCAGTTCCCGGGAACAGAAATGTATAGGAAACTCGTTTGGTAAAACCGATTTATTTTTTTGTTCCCGGGATGAACCGGTTTAATTTTTGTGTTGGGGAACAGAAAAAAGAATCAAAAAATTTCTGCTTTTTTGTTCCCGGACACAAAATGAGAAACAGTTATCTCTCTCAATCACTCTCCACCTCTACCATCATCACCACCACCACCATCATCCCGAACACGATTGTCGCCACCATCGTCGCCGCCGCCATCATACCACTAGTGCCGTCGTCACCACCCCTCACCACCACGATGTTATCGCCACCATTACCACCACCTCCACCCATCACTACCACCATGCCACCGTCACCACCACCACAACTACCACCCCCGCCACCACTATCACCGTCACCACTACCGCCATCAACCACCACCACCATCATCGCAACCACTGCCGTCACACGCCGCCATCGCCATCACACGCCACTGCCACCACCCTCATCGCCATCACTACCACCACCACGACGCCACCACTACAACCACTACCATTGTCGCAGCCACTACCGTCACCATCACTTTCGTCGTCACCGCCACCAACCACCACCACCATCGCCACTTTTACACCACCCCCGTCACTACCATCACTGTTACCTAACACCACCGCCACCGCCGCAACCACTGCCACCACCACCACCATGATGCCTTCACAACCACCACCACCATGCCACTACTACCATTGTTACCGCCAGCAACCACCATACCCACCACCATTGTCGCAGCCATTGCCATCACCTCCACAACTACCATCCCCACCACTACCGCAGCCGTCGCCGCTGCCATTGTCGTAGTCACTGCCGTCACAACCACCACCACTATCTTCACCACGTCACTGCAACCAACACTATCATACCATCCCCGCCACCACCACCACAACCACACCATATGGAGAGGAAAGTGATGATCCAGAATTCTCATTCTCGGAATAAAAATAGAACATGTTATCAAACACATATTTTTTCTCAAGAACTGTTCCAAGGCATAGAAATAGAAAAGAATTGTTTCTTTTCAGAAATAATGCTAGGGAATAGAATGATTGTCATGCACACCCTTAACATTATTAAGAAGGAGACAAACTGGTTTTTTTGGCCATTTAACAATTGTATGTGCATTATATATAAAGTATATTATAAAAGATGTACATTCCTGAAATCATATGCTTCAAGGAATAAAAATCGTTACAAAAATAAAAAATAAACTCATTTTGCATGAGAGAATTACCCACTTAAAGAGAAACTTTTATTGTATCAAGTGGACATTAATTGTAACTTTGATTGTTATTATTGATAGATTAGTTTGAGACTTATCAGAAGAGAGACAGAGTTACGGTTGCTTCAGGTCATCCAGATTTTTCCAACTCAGCATACAAACATTGGGTCCATGCTTTAGGTATCATTCAATGATGATGACAAGTTTTTAGGAGTTCTTAGTTTAACAAATTTCTCTGCTTTCTTTGATCGTACAACCTCCCAGTGACTGAAATAACTGAATTTAAAATAAGGATATGTTTTCCTCATTTTACATGAGACAAATTATCTCATACAACACACATAAAAATAGATAGAATTCACTTTTTTTCTTTCTCTCTCTTCTTCTTAGTGGATCTCATTCACTCTTTTGTGTGTTACATGAGACAATTTATCTCATACAACATGAGAAAAACATTTTCCTTTAAAATAATATATAATCAAGTTAAGATCCATAACTTTATATACACAAATATTTTATAATTATACAAATTTCAAAAGCTACTATTATTTATTTATTATTCACATACTTTCTTTAATTATATTTTTATATTTTGTCATACATCGGAGATATGTTAAGCTAATTATATATATATATATATATATATATATATATAAAACATAATACAAAAAAAATTAGTTAAAAAAAAAAACCAAGCAAATAAAAATACACTGTCAACTATCAAGGATAGTTCACATAGTTGGAAAGAGTTTATTGATAAGTGACATGGGGTACACAAGGGATAAACCCGAAAACATAACTCATTTTTTAGGAGTTCCACTAGTCCTACGTACAATCTGTGCTCTACTTTCATCTCTGTACAAGCCTCTTAACTCCAGCAGCACCAACCTTATAGAGAATAAGAAACAGGGTGGGGGAAAGTGTTTTGTGTTTGTAGAATTCTTGAAGAGGGTGCTTAATAACAGGAGATGTTGCTTATAGCTTCATGGGCAACAAACTCCCATCAAACTACAGCTTTTGGCTTGCTGAAGCCATCTTTTCAATCAAGATGAAGAGATCTGTTGTTGAAGTTTGCTCATAAGATTTCATGCATTCAAATCCCATCAAAAGATTTTATGATCAATAAGGGCAAGAAAAAACAATATAGCAATCATGTGTTTTTTTTCTCTCTCTCAAGCCTTCTGAACTACACGAGAAGAAACTCCATGCAGAAGTCTGACAAACCCCAAGAAACTAAGCTTCCCATCTGAGTGTCTTATCCAATCCTGGAGAACAAGATGAATAGGTACTGATGGGCTAAGCCCAAGTTCCTGAAATAAATCAAATTGAAAAAGCTTAGTACCATATACATATGGCATATTGCTGATCAAGAATCTCATTTAAGGTAATAAGTCATGTTGATCAAATGAAGAGAAGAACTAAGAAGACGGCTAGTGAGAATTCATCAGAAGGACATGCAAAAACTAATTCATCATAACCAAGAATTTGATAACCACTTGTGTTATCTCTCAATAGGTCCTTGGTTCTAATCCTACCAAAATAAAATTCACAAACTACTAAACCACTCCCGATTTGGTGAAATACGGGCAATCCTTGTACTATTGATACATTAGAAGAGGCGTACCGAGGCAAGCTCTTCAATCATAATTGGTCTATTTCCATCCTTTTCAAACACATCATAGGCACGCCTTGCATGTTGCTCCCAGCTCTCCATTCCCTCTAGTTGATGGACACTTATAGCAGCAGCACAAAATTCCTCAAAATCCAATTTTCGATATTGGATTGAACTAACCTGTGACACGAATAGTAACAATTCACTTTCCAGGATGCAAGTTTGTTAGAAGCTGTTATTAAAAGTTATAATCCCTCATAGACTTACCATGTTCACATAATCTAGGACCCGTGAATCCTTTGAGGCATCAGTGGCGCTCCTTAAAACAGCCTGCTAAGTTAAATGTTAATGGCTTAAAGTTATTTGGAAAAAAAAAAAAAAAAAGTATAAAAACTTTCGACATGTGCTGACCGTCTTGAAGTTCTGCATAGAGATTAACCCATTTTTGTTTGGGCCTAATATAGTAAATTGTTCTCTGAGATAAGCTAGCTGCGCTAATGTTAATGTCTTTGCAAGAGCCTGCCAAAATGACAAAACTTAAATCAAAATATACCCATGTCTTCAACATGAATTACAGAAGGTTACATCAAGAAACATAAATAGTTTATTACACATGACGACAAGCAAGTTCACAAAACTCTCATACTTATGCTCGACTTGTCAATAAATTACGTAAATACATAAATGCTCATTATTGTCTCCACGTTACTAGATCAGCCAGATGATATCTCTCAGATTCTCACTCTCACTATTATCATAACTGTTTTCCTTTTGGAAGGGGAGGCTACATCCTCACTCATGTTTCTACCACGTTTAGCAATCAATTTTTTCTCCTTATTTCCTCCTTTTCCTTTCTTTTGGATCTTCTCCCTATTAGCAATTTATCATAGTTGCTAGTGAATTTATTTTGGGTCATCAATCACCATAGACAACCCAGAAGTTGAACATATCCAAAATAACAAGCATGTTCAAATTTAAAGTTTGACCAAACCCAACTAATGGTTACAAAGATATACTAATTACTGGAACTCAGCAAGTTGTAGTAATCATTGACTAAGAACAGAAAATGAAAGAAGCCTTACCCAGTAGATATATTACATTATCTGTTAATACTTAATAGATCAAGAAGAGAGATCCAAACTCAATATTGAGATATAACAACGAAGGGGGCAAAGCATAAGCAATAATAAATGATCAGACACAACATTACATACCCCTAATGCTGATTTGCGTAAAGAAGATGAGCAAATATAAGCTTTAACAAGCTTGTGGATTATCATATCAAAAGGTATCTTCGTATCATCACAATGATTTGCCAGCCACGGATGACCTAAGCATAAAATCAAGCCATAAGCAAGAGAATTCACGAGGTTATAAAATGAAATGTTAATACCATACACCACTCATGGGAAATAGAACACATACTGAGAGCCTGAGCTGCCGTTAGTCTTTTACGATAATCCTTATTCAACAGCTTCTTTACAAAATCTATAGCATCAGCTGATAAAGAAGGCCAAGGAGCTTCATCAAAACCTGGATCTGCCTTCAGGACAGCCCGAAATATGCCAGATTCTGTCCGGGCCCAAAAAGGTCGGCTTCCACATAAAAGAATATAAGCAATTACACCAATGCTCCACATATCTGCTTCTGTCCCATAAGATCTATGCAAAACTTCAGGAGCTACATAATATGCACTTCCCACAATATCATTCAACCTCTCATCTGCAAAAATTTCTGATTGTTAGCCCTGATTGTTTTATTTTCTGTTAAGAAATCAGAAAAAATATATAGATTAGGCAATAGGCCTGACCTGGCTTTACATAGTCAGACAGTCCAAAATCAATGGCTTTCAGTGTGGAATTTTCTTCCTTAGATGAAAAAAGAAAATTCTGCAACAGAAAACCAGCCTTCTTAATTAGGAGGAAAACAGTATAGCATGCCAAAATGAAAGAGTAATTAATTCTAGGTAAAGAACTACAGAATTGTAACATCCTTTGATTTTTGAATTAACCTTAATACAAACTGTTGTTATTCAGAATGGTTATCAACCTAGAAAGAATGAACACATATAAAACAATCTCTAATTGCATGTCTTCACTCAGTAACTCATTTCCTCCCTGGCTTGAAAGTGGTGCAAAAATACTACTTGCTTTTGAATAAATGGAAACCCAAACAAAGATGAAAATAGAATAAATGGAGACCCAAACAAAGATGAAAATAGCCATTGGGAGTATTGCCAAAGAGTAATAAAATAACTATCCAAACAAGTTTGGAGTCCAAGTCGATCAAATCATCTTAAATTTATTTGGTTTTTGAAAAAACTATGCAACATTTTCTAGCACTACCTGTTTGTAAAATGTTTAAAAAATTTGTTAAGCATGCTAAAGAGAGGATAGAGACGATATCGATAATCATAAACACTTTAGAGTAACTAATATGAAAATGCAAATTTCAGTAACTAAACTACCTAGAAACTTTCCAGATAACTGTTTTCCTTTCTGACTAATTTTCAGCAAAGCTGAAAATTTTCCTAGCCTTGCCAGTGCAGTAATGAAATTAAATATAAAACGTTATCAATGATATCATCAATTGGAGGACACTATACTAGCTTCAGCCAGACTTCTCACATAATCCTGAATAGTTTTCTCAGCTAAGGATTGATTAGCTTTATGACCTAATTACCTCTGGCTTGAGATCACGGTGAACAACGCCCTGCAGATGACAGTAAGCTACCACACTCAATATCTGAATCATAACAACCTTGGCATCCTCTTCTGAGTACTTTCCACCCCTATAGATCATAATTAAATATGTGCCAATCAGAATGTCTTAAATAATGACAACATTAAAATAATGAAATCAGTATGCCTCTTTTTAGTTTCTTTCAATTTTGTGGCACAAAAAAACGAAAATTGGAGAATATGTTTACCTGGAGAGAATCTTATCTAGCAGTTCACCTCCTTTGCATAACCTGAATTGCATAAGATACAGTAGAACATGAGATCCTAATTTACTGATTCAATTAACAACTTTCAATTTCCTGCTTAATCAATACAATATTTCCAAACAATCAGCATTGCACTAATAGTTCCTTAAAAGTACACTTGCGATATAAGGAAAGTCATAGGTTAATTTGCAATAAAACTAATGTATCATGAAAGTTTCACTTTCGCCACTAAATTCATTCAGCTTGGGATTATGTTACTAATTTTTCAGTAGCATCATTGTGAGGGTAAACAAGACAAAAGAAGGTAATATGAACTTACTCCATAACTATATAAACATTATCGTCATCTTCATAGGCTTCATAAAATTGCACCAGATTCTTATGGCCAGTGAGAGCCCGCAATATCTTTACTTCTCTTCTTACATCCTCTATAGCAATTGCTGTTGTCATCTGCAAACATCGCCCATTTTCATAAGAACAAAATCCACATTACTGATTTCTGTAATCAACAGCCAAAAGAAGAACACTGATCACAACTGTAACCCTTACACAAGGCTGGAATGGAAACAAATCTATGGAAGATACTTCCTTGAAAACATAATGGTATTATTTATAAAAAAAAAAAAAAAAAAAGATGCCTGCTAGCTGCTAGAGTCCATGGAAATATCACAATCATATACATCTATGGTTCAAGAATCTCCCGATTAAAATCTAAAGCTAGATTCTCCACAGAGAACACAAGGCATGAAATCCTCACAAACAAATGTTCCCAAGCCATATCCACAAACTTTGCACAACAGTATTTTCCAATAGCAACAGTCCATCACGTAGGAGGTGATAGTAAATGACCAAAAATCTAAAAGTTGCATCTTTTACTACCTTTCATCGCATCATGTCACAGGAATCCAATACCAACAATCCATCATGAATGAAGTGATAGTAAATGACCAAAAATATAAAAGCTGCATCTTTTACCACCATCCATCGCATGAAGTCACGAGAATATACACAAGGTTATCATACCTGTGACTAGCTAGACCACAACTCAATTTAAAACAATAAAAATAAAAAGACTAAAAAAAATATAAAAAAAATAAAAAGTGCAAGTGTTAAATCAGAGACTCAAAGAATGAAGCATTCATCAAAACTGATGATGAGACCTTTGATTTTGGAATGACTTTGACAGCAACCTCATGGCCCTTGAAGCTACCCTTTTTCCCCTTGGCAGAGCAAGTGTAACCAAAATGGCCACGCCCCACTTCTTGTCCAAGCACATAATGAGCTTCAAAGTGCTTAGAGAACCCAAAACTCTTGTCCAACCCAACCTCACACTCACTCCCTTCAGGGATGGAGGCCTCATTAGGCTTCACCGAACCATGGCGGCGAGCTAGCAGCGCCCGAATGTGCTTGGCCGGCGAAGGAGGAGGGAAGGGGCGCTTGAAGATCCGCAAAGGGGTTGAGCTCACGCTCGAATTCGCCGGTGAGTTCTTGAAGAGACTTGGCAAGGGGCTAGGGCTGTAAAATGGAAACTTTGAGGATTTGGTGCTGTGGGAACTTGGTGGAAGTGCCAGCACCTCTTTGTCACCATTGAATACTACTGAGTTTTCTCCTTCAGTTTTTGAGGTTTCAATGGGTTTTCCATGACAGAGTCCCATGAAAGCAAAAAACAAATAAAAATAAAAAATACCCAGAAGACAGAGATGACAAAACTATGAAAAAGTTCAGATTTTGAAGCTGTTTGGAAGAAATTGGAATTGAAATTCAAAGGGGGAAATAAAGGGGGTAACTTGTGTTCAGGATTTCCTCAGGGAAGTGAATTTTGTTTTTTGTTTTTTTTTTAATTTTTTTGGGTTGATCAGTGGAACCCAGAAAAGATCAGGACATGCATTTCCTGAATCAAAATGAGAAATCTAAGATGGGGGGGTTTGGACAATGTAAAATATTGAAGAGAGCAAGTAGATTTTTGAAACTAAGAAAATGATCCACCAGAGAGGAAAAACCTACAAGAATTCACCTAAAGAAGAAGCAATCTGTGACTAGAACAGGGAAGGAATATGATGGGATAATGGAAACTCAAGCCAAGAAAACTTAGTTGAAAAAAAATTCCAACTGGAATGAAGGAGTTGGAAGGGGGAGAATAAAATGAGCAAAAGTGAGGCAAAGATGCTTAGCAGAGTCTGCAAGAAAAAGAAAAGAAAAGAAACCAATCCTCCTTTTTTTGCTTTTTGTAAGACTCTTTTTTATTATTATTATTATTTTCTGCTACCTATTGTTAAAAGTTTTGTAGGGAAAAAAATTTATTTAATGTTTTTTAATAAATTAATTACGTATTTATTACAGTTTTAGAAATAATTACACATTTATTACATAATAAGATGTCAATTTTGGGCGTCACCAATGACGCCAATTTTGGGAGTCACCAATGACGCATAAATTGGGCGTCACTCAAGAGACAATCACGCCTAAATTTAGGCGTCACTCATCAGGTGTTGACACGTGTAATATTTTTTTTCAAAAAAAAAATAATTTAATCACAAAACTTCTGAAAGCCATAACTTTTGACTCGGGTATCAAATCAGGTATTCTTTTTTTGATTCCACATTACTTTTCGAGATCTACGCAATGACATCTCATTTGACATATTTTATTTCTCACAAACACAATTTAAATTTGCAAGGGGTTTGTGATTTAATATAAAAAAATAAATAAAATTTTGATTAGTGATTTAAAATTTTTTTTATAATAATTTTTTTTATCATACCAAAAATTTGGTTTGTGATTTAAATTAAAAATAAAAATTATTCTTAATAAGGAAAACAAAATAAAGATTTGATTTGTGATTTAAACTAAAAAATCAATTTGAAAAATCTGTAGAAATAAAGAAAATAATTAAATAAATATTCTAAATCTCTAAGGAAGAAGGATATTATTTTTGAAATTAACGATTAATGCTATAAACTTCTGGGTTATTATTCGTGGTCTGAAATTAATGATGGCTTATGAATGTTTTTAAAAAAAAAATTTACCTAAATTAGGCGTGATTGGTGACGTGTTAGGTGTTGACACGTGTCACATTTTTAAACTCAGAAGCCTCTGAGTTCTGGGTTTGTGAGTTAATATCAAAAATAAATCAAGATTTGATATGTGACTTAAATTAAAAAAATAAATTTTTTATTTTTATTATAAAAAAAATTTGGTTTGTAATTTAAATTAAAAATAACAATTATTATTAATAAGAAAAACAAAATAAAGATTTGATTTGTTATTTAAACTCAAAAATCAATTTGAAAAATCTGTATTAATAAAGAAAATAATTACATAAATATTCTAAATCTCTAAGGAAGAAGGATTTTATTTTTGAAAAACATTCATAAGCCATCATTAATTTCAGACTACGAATCAAATCACAAATCAAATCTTTATTTATTTTTTTATATTAAATCACAAACCAAGAACTCAGAGGCTTCTGGGTTTAACCGCTCTTATAGTATCATTCTTGCAAATTTAAATTATGTTTGTAAGAAATAAAATATATCAAATGAGATGTTATTGCGTAGATCTCGAAAAGTTATGTGAAATCAAAAAAAGAATTACCTGATTTGGATATCCGAGTCAAAAGTTACGGCATTCAGAAGTTTATGATTAAATTATTATTATTTTTGGAAAAAAAAATATGACACGTGTCAACACCTGATGAGTGACGCTCAAATTTAAGCGTGATTGTCTCTTGAGTGACGCCAAATTTAGACGTCATTGGTGACGCCCAAAATAGATGTCTTATTATACAATAAATATGTAATTATTTTTAAAACTATAATAAATACGTAATTAATTTATTACAAACATTAAATAAATTTTTTTGCCAAACCACGAAGAAATACACTTTATTGGAGAGAGCAGTGTATAGTGATGGTTTCTTCTCTAATAATAATGGTGAGTGGGGTTGGTTTTGGATCCTTCCAGCCTGTCCTTATTGATCCCCCCCAAAAAAAAAAAACTAGGATGTATCCGTTTCATATTAGAAGAATGTAGCAAGGAGTTAAGGAACTCAGGGCTGTGTATTTAACCTCTGATGTTTGACTTCCTTTTGTTAGCCTATGAAAGATTGTCTTTTTCTGCTTTGAATTTTTTTAGTTTTTTCATGGTGGGTCTGTTTTTTTGCCAATAAGTGACTTGAGATCTGAGAACAAACATTTCAAGTTAAGGGAAAATTGAAGCTGAAATCATATCAATTTGGTGATTTGTTTTCATGGCATTGTATTCATTTGTTATGTCAGACAGATTGAAAGCTTTTTTTGAGTCCGTTAATTTTTTAATGTTTTGTAGTGTTACGTAATTATACATTGACTAAATATTCTTTGAGTCCCTCATAAAAAATATAGTCGTTACTTTAGTTTTTTATAAAAATAAATTAATCTTGAGGTCTTTCAGAAATTTAAAGTGAATCTATTTTAGTCCTTTGATGGACTAATATGAGTTTTTTTTAAATTTGTAAGGAACTACAATTTTAACTAAATGAATTTATTTTGAATTTCTTATAAACTTCGAGACTAATTTTTCTTTTTAAGAGAATAAAGTAAAAACCGTATTTTTCGGATCCAAAAGACTATTTAATCTTATACATTGAAGAGTAACAAGCGAATGGAATGTTCATAGCACGGAAGAACACTTAATGTCAGAAAACTAGCGGCAATACCCCTTGATAATGATCATACAGTAAGACAACCAACATGAGAACATGTCTAGAATTTCGGATTGAGATCCATCCATGTTAGTTACTAACATGTTAAAAGGAGAACAATACACAAAAGTAAAATAAATAAACCTTGCACAAATAATAGTGGGAGAGTAACCATTGTGTCACGCATGGCAAAAAAATTTACCAGACTGCTACGTCAACAGTAAATTTTGCCAAAATGCCACGCAGCATATTTCGCTACATTGTGTAGCGAAATATGTTTGCATATAATTTGCTACACAGTGTAGCGAAATATGCCATGTCAGGCTGCACAGTCAGAAAAAATGACACGTGTCAAGCAGACAGAAGTTCGCTACACTGTGTAGCGAATTATGCTTGGATTCTGCCTGCTTGACACGTGTCATTTTTGCTGACTGTGCAGCCTGACATGGCATATTTCGCTACATTGTGTAGCGAATTATATGCAAACATATTTCGCTGCACAATGTAGCGAAATATGCTGCGTGGCATTTTGGCAAAATTTATTGTTGACGTGGTAGTCTGGTAAATTTTTTTGCCAGACGTGACAAAATGGTCACTGTTCCAATAATAGTAAGCTCTGTATGGTTACTTTTGTATCTTTTTCTCGACTAATATAGCATTGTCATATTAACAACATAAGGTGATTCAAATCATACGAGTGATGATAATCATTCTATTTCTTGAAAAGAAATAATTTTTTTTTATTTTTGTGCTTTAGAACATTTTCTACAAAAAAAAAAAATGTGTTTGATAACATGTTCTATTTTTATTTTGAGAATAAAAATTGTGTTTAATAACACAACAAAGAATATAATAAAAAATAATTCATATTAAGCATAAAAAAATCCTAGATCATCACTTTTCTTTTTATATGGTGCGGTGGTGGTTGTGGCATGGAGGTTGTAACGCCTGGCAACTTGCAAGGATCAACGACTGTTTCGTGGAAAACTTTTCAGGAGGTCACCCATCTCAGAATTACCTCAAGTCAAGCACGTTTAACTATGGAGTTCTTCCATTCCGGACTACCGAAAAGTAGATACATCTTGTTAGTATAGGTAGTACTAATTAATTCTTATAAGTTATTTAAAACCGTATCGTCCCATACCAGCACAGTCTCTAGAATCCCTCTCTTTCGGGTGTTGATTCGATTCATTCATGTACTCCCGTCGCTGGAAGCCTGCCAGGAGCCGCTCCTTGTCCATGCCCTTTCGCACCGGCGATCACTCCATGCCCTCGTTAGCGCCTGGGATGTTATAGAGGCAATGGTAGTGGTGGTAGCAGTGGCGTGGTGATAGCATGGTATGGGTGCTGGTGGCACTAATGATGGTGGTGATGTCATGGTAGTAGTGGTAGTGGTGGTGGTATCATGGTAGTAATAGTGGTAGTGTCGTGGTAGTAATAATGGTGGTGGTGACGGCAATGGCTGAGATGATGGTGCTGGTTGTTGGTAGTGGTGATGATGGTAGTGGTGATGATGGTAGTGGTGGAGAATGATTGAAAGAGACAAGTGTTTCTCATTTTGTGCCCGGGAACAAAAAAACAAAAACAAAAAAACGATTCTTATTTCTATTCCCCTGCACAAAAATTAAATCGATTGATCCCGGGAACAAAATAATAAACCAATTTTATCAAATGTGTTTTCTATTCATTTCTATTCCCGGGAACAGAAATTAAAAAAAAAAAAAAAAAAAACTGTATCCGGAAAGGTTGTCATGCACACCCTTACTAACAAAAGGTAAAAACGGAGGAGAGAAGCCATCCCACAAGCTTACAAGGATTACTCTCATATCCTTAGCAGACGGAACAAAACTGCTTTTCAAAGAGAATATTATTCCATCAAGAGGAGATATTTGTTTTAAACATGGGTTTGATTCACACTCTATGTTCTGAGAAATATTTAACATCTGAATTACCTTACTATGACACGTCCTTACGAATCTTTCTTAGTAAATGTAGTTAATGAACTCACATCATTGCCTCAATATTCTCATTAAGATGTAGTGTTACATAGGCAAAAAAATTAAAATATTACTATTTTAATAAATAATTACGGATAGGTGGCAGTTTGGATATTATTTTCGAATATGTAGCACTTACTCACGCCCAAAATGGGCGGGACAATTCACGCCCAAGTTAGGCGTGAATAATTCACGCCAAAAATAGGCGTGACAATTCACGCCCAGGCCAGGCGTGAATTCCTTGGCCTATAAACCCCCCCCCCCCCCCCCCCAAATTTTCATTTTTCTATGTCATACCTTCTCTCTAAAGTTGGCATGACTTCTCTCTAGATTATTTGTGGAGCATTTTGCGCGGCGAAGCCCTGTCGAACAAGTAAGTCTTCATATCTGCTTTATCAATTTTTTAAATATAATATTATACATGTTATAATAGTAATTTAGGGTGTTGCACATATAACTGTTATTATAGTGATCTAGGAATATGTTAAAGTAGTGTCTTAAACCCTAGAAATATATTAGTGACTTAGGAATATATTAATGACCTAGGAATATTGTACACATGTCATTTAATATTTTTTGTAACACATGTAATTTAATATTTTTTGTAACACATGTAAATTAATACTTTTTGTAACACATGTAATTTAATAATATTTTTTGTAACACATGTAATTTAATATTTTTTATAACACATGTAATTAGCGTAATGACTTTTGAATATATTAAGTAAACCAATTAATTTGTTATTGTGTATAGTACACTATTATGGCTCACTCGTCATCGTCTGAGTTACCTCGGTCTACATCTGATACTGAGGCTCAGGCCGAGCCTGCGGATCCCAGGACACACGTGCTTCCAGGACCATACAGTTGGGACGTACTTAGGAGGTACACGCAGCGCACACATGTTTCGCAGCTTGTGTGGAATGAGGAGAAGTGTCGCCAGTGCAAGACTAGACGTGGTAAGATGCAGGGGGGCCATCTCTTGATGCTATTCCTGACATTATGGCAGACTACCTGCAGCAGGCTGGCTTCCTACATGTCACACGCATGTGACATATTCAGGTACGCATATAAGAAAGTACAAGTGATGAAACTTTTAATATCATAATAAATGTGAAAAACTTAGTGTACTTTATAAGTTGGTTTATTTTGATAGTTTGTCTGCATTTGTTTCATATTGATCCCATGCTGATCAGTGCTCTGGTGGAGAGGTGGAGACCAGAAACACATACGTTCCACATGACCCAGAGCGAGATGACCATTACGTTGCAGGATGTTGCGGCTATATTAGGTTTGCCGACTGAAGGGAGAGTAGTTACGGGTGTTACATCTACGGACTGGCGGGTCCTGTGCCAGGAGGTGCTTGGTCACGCCCTCCTCGGTTCAGAGCAGCCTTACGGGGATGTTAAGCTCTCATACTTAGATAGACATTATGCCCATTGGGGTGCAATTGTTGCAGATCCACATCAGGTTATATTTTTTACTAAGGCGCACATTGCGCGTGTGTTAGGGCCATGGCTTCTTTGCGACAAATCTGGAGGTAGCGTCGTCGGATGTCGCTATATTGCGTTGCTTGCAGGAGATTTTGGAGAGATTGGACAATACAGTTGGGGATCTGTTGTTCTCGCACATTTGTTTAGACAATTGTGCGAGCTTACTGACCCCCGCAAATCAGACATGAGTGGGTGTCATATACTACTGCATATATGGGCCAGGACCAGGTTTCCACCAATTGCTCCTCCTCTTCCTCAGCCTACTCACCCAGATTGGCACTACGGGCACCGGTATGTGTCATTTGTATATCTTATTTCGTTAATTTTTCTATAACAATCATATTAGTACTCTTGCATATGTTTCATTTGGATAACAGATTTAATGGTTTAGCCCGCTTTAAACCACAACATCAGCTTCTATATCGGGGGACTCTAGACACGTTATGCAGGCACGAGGTATGTTATAGTTTTCTTGGAGAATTTATGATTATTATTTTGTCTAGTTGCCAGATACAGTTGTTATGGAAATTCATTGTATTTTTTGTAGGTCATTTGGTAGCCGTACGACGACTATAATTTCTTGGGCATACTTGCAGATGAGTGATATCTTTGGTTGGCTAAGACACCGATTATATGTTTTCATACAGTTGAGCACTGCCAACCAGATAGATGCTTGAGACAGTTTAGTTTGGATCAGCCAATACCTTTGAGGCCTAGAAAGCTCAAAGGGGTTCATGATCACACGCTTCGAGGTATATTGGTGTGCATGTGGCCATATCTAAGTCCATCCACATCATATGCACGCATCCACTTTTCCTTTGGAATCTGATCAATCCAATCTGCAATCTCAGGACTAGTATCACGAAATTTTGCAAAGGCTATATCGAAATCAACCTTAGAAGGAGTATAACCTGAAAAGATAATGACAATTAATAAGCTACGTATATACAGTAATACTGTCAAATGAGACATAAAAAAGATGTCACTCATACCCAAATTCATAATCGTCTTCTTCAATTTTTTGTTCCTGAACTTTTGATTACTTGCAATATGGCGAAGGCAAAACACATGATGGGCATGTGGTGGCTGCCAACCACGATGATTCTCCACAACAGATAATATGCTTCGATGGCGATCTGAAATTAGACATATGTTTTGCTTTTGCGTGACATGACGACGAATGTTATCAAGGAAGTACTCTCATGCTTCCAAAGTCTCGCCTTCAACAATTGCAAATGCTAGTGGCAAACATTCAGCATTTCCATCCTGAGCTGTGGCAATCAATAATTTCCCTTTATACTTACCATATAAATGAGTGCCATCGATTTAAATTATTGGTTTGCAAAAGTTGAAAGCCTCGCAACATTGTCTATAAGTCCAAAAAATGCGATGAAACATACATTTTTCACGAACCAGTCGGTGAGCAACAAAATCATATGTTTGAATATTATAAACAGAACCTGGAGAAAAGCGAAGCATATATTCACACCACCTTGGCAAAAATGCATAAGACTCCTCCCAATCACCATACATGATCGCAATTGCTTTCTGTTTTGCATACCATGCCTTTCTCTATGAAACTTTGAAACCATACGCATGGGTGATCCTCTCCTGAACAAGTGAAATTGAGATTGATGGCTCCTCTCGTATCATTCCTAACAATCATATTGTAGGTAGACATTAAACCTTATTCATCTGACTATAACACACAAAAGAATGATAAAATAATCAAATAATATACCTAGTACAAGTGAAGCAATCACATCAGCATCCAGCTGTCTATGACCCTCAGAAATATGCTAATTCAAGCAATTGTGGTCTCCACCCCATTTAGTAACCATCCATTTTTCACCGTACGTCGGTTTTATTACCCTAACCCTCCACGGGCAACCCTGTTCATACACACAACATTTCATACTTAATTTGGTAGGCGTTCTCTCAAGGACGAGCGCTTCTTGATGCTCTTTCATTCGATTTCTCTTGATTGCCATCTGCGCCTCTTTTTTTGATTCAAATTCTTGCTTAACATACAACTTGTTACCTATTATCCATTGACCATTAATTGAACCTGAGCCTGAGCCAGAACTTGAACCCTCGTTATAAGAATCTTGTTCCCTCGGATGATCCCAATCAATGTATGTGTAGTGTGGAATTTCTTTCCAAAATGGAACAACATCGTCACCTGCATGTAAGAAATTAAACAAATTTACAAAAAGCTGCAAATATAAACGTATACTTTAATTGTTTACTGATATACCTTCTGAAATTGGCGGTAACTGAGTGGACGCGACGTCATGATGTTCCTGGACATGAGACTCTCCCATTGCATTATATTCTAGGATTTGAGTTTCAGGAATACCACATTCATCATCGTTGTCTGAAGTGCTAGCATCCTCAGCAAGAAGTTGATCTTCCATTGCAATATTTTTCATCATCGTCATCATCACCATCAACTTCCATAACCCAGGTAGGGTCATTTTCTCCTTCGACAGACAGATTAACAACTGGAGCAGCAGATGATGATGCATTATGTGCAAAATCTAAATCAACTGACCTCATGGGTAAAGCAGCACCCTCTGCTTTGGCAATATCCACGTATAACTCTAAAAAATCTTTCCTTGACTGGTTGAAAAACTCTCTGATTACCATTTCTACGTCTTCATCGTCAACAACTTGCATACTAATGTATTGTGATTCACACCATATTCTTGCAGTGACCATATTGATAGATTGCTTACCTTCAAACGCTAACTTTTGACAAATTTTTTGATGTAGTTCGCTGACTGTTGAGTTCCGCATGATACGTGTTGGCCTTTTCTCGCCTTCAAAAATGACACCACGTCGACCTTCCATTTTCCTACCATTATAATATAAAATAACACGAACTAAATCAGAATGTGAACTCATTCTTAACTATATTAATAAAAAAACACAAAACAAAGTATGCATAAGCAAGTGAGACTGTATCGAAGACTAAGAAGTTAAGATGTAGAAGAGTTGTGATGAATGTGGAGATGATAGGTGTTTATATAAGAAAAATCAGAGCCATTCACGCCTAGAATGGGCAGGAGAGGGGCTTGATTCACGTCCAGATGAGGCTGGAATATGCAGCGATTCACGTCTGCATCGGGCGTGATTAGTCACGCCTATTTTAGGCGTGAATGCCACGTAATTCATGCCTTATTTGAGCGTGAATTGTCCCGCCCTTTTTGGGCGTGAATGACTGCTACTGATTCGAAAATAGTATCCAAACTGTCATGTATCCGTAATTATTTATTAAAATAGTAATATTTTAATTTTTTTTGCCGTGTTACATATGTTAAGATATCTAAAAAAGACTTTGGGAAACAAGATTCTTTATAAAGGTCATGGCTACGGTAAAATTACAAGGTTACTACTCTATACATATTGGATAGGGTGTCCTATAGATAAAAAATCATAGGTTATTGCATGTTCCTCGAAGGAAATTTGATAACTTGAAAAGGCAAGAAGCAAGATATAGTAATAAGGTAAAGTGTAAAGTTTGAATATCGAGCAATAGCCTAAACTTCCTATAATATTATGGTGTATCATTTACTTAATGAGATTGGATTCAAGGTGGCTTCACTTATGCAATTATGTTGTGATAACCAGATTGCCCTTGACACTACCAAGAACCTTCTTTTCTACAAAAGGACAAAACACATAGAAGCCAATTACCATGTAATTTGAAAAAAGATTCAACAAAGACTTATATACATGGAAAATTTTAGGATTGGACAATAAATTGCTAACGTAACATTCTTTCCTAAGCACTTAGTCCATCATCACTTAAGTACAAGTAGATCTTTACCCTTGCCATTTAAGTCAATTTCCAATTAGTTTTAAATTATGTAGCTAATTGATTACCTATTGACTATGATCAAGTGCTTCATAGGCTTGGTTAATCTAACATAGTCAGTATCCACCATCTATATATAAGTATGATTTCACTTGTCTAACTTTGGGAATTGATTCTTTTTTGTCTCATTTAACAGAAGTTACATGAAACAATATCAATCATCCAATCAACAAAAATGGGGAAACGATAATCATTAATTTGTCTACAGATAATTAAAATATCTCACATGACTTGTTCATATTAAATGAGATACAAGATTATACATTCTCATAAACTTTTCATTCAACTCCTGATTCAAATTTCAGTTTGATCAATATATTTTAGTTGAAAGTAAATAGGAAGTTATTTTTCTTTTAAAACAGACCCTACCTGACGAAAATTTCATTCAACTACATAGACCCTAGCTAGCATGGTCCCAAAATGCATGTGTCACATGTAATTGTTGGCTGCATTTGATTTCGAATAGATCTTGCACCATAGTTGGTGCAGCTACTTTTTAAGTTACTATATAAAGACTTCAGAAGGATCGGTTGACAAACTAAAGAATGAAAAAACAAATAATAATAATCGCAATCATAAAAACTTAAAAAATCCACTGTCTTTGACAAGCATGGTCTTTGAGCATCTCTTTATCCTTTCAAACTTTAATTTTTTTCCTACTATTGCTAGTAGTTGGAGTTTTCTTTACCCCTAATATACTTTTACTATTATGATTTCTTTATCTCGTGCATCTGATTCCATGATCGAGTACATTCATATATAAAAATGTTGATGACTTAAGCCATACATAACTCTATATATTTAGCATACCTTATCCAACAAAACAAACCACGATGATGGCATTTGCATATATAAAGAGAAACCCAAAACATAACATATATTGTAGCTAGGGCAACTTTTTGGGTACCTATCAAGCATCATATGCTCTTTATTTTTTGTGGTACGAGCTCTGTGAATGGCCCAAAGCTTTTATGACATTTAAATTCTGTGTTCGCCATTTCTTGCCACAGGAAACACACAAAAAGAAGTCCATTTATCTTCGTAAAGTTAAGGGGAATAGTATATATTCCTTGAGCACAAAGCTTTTACTCCTTTCTTTTCCTTTCTTTTTTTCTGTCCATTTTTCTATTTATTTTAAATAAAAGCACAAATCTTTCAATTATGATTCTATATTGTTCATGTTTGGAAACGAGGCCTCTAAAGGTTTAAAAAATTCGATGTCCTCGAAAAACAACGTTTTTGGAGCCTCGGTTTAAGGGATTTTAGTATTGTAGAATAAGAATATATACAGTATTATATACAATATATATATATATATATATATATATATATATATATATATATATATATATATATATATATATATATATATACATACACTATTGACTATGTACGCATAGAAGCTACTATATACTAAAAAAATAAGCAAATAGTAAATGATTTGCCGTATAATGAGGCTTTGGTGATGGCAATAATATACTACCATTATGATTAAGTCAGGTTGTCATTTTACAACCAACACATGATTGTTGATGATTTGTCATATAAGGCAATGCATTCGATAAGTCACCTCAATACATAAACAGAAGCTTCGATGTACCAAATCAAAATTCCATTTTAACAAAAAATAATCTGCACAGTGACTCATTTTCCTTACAACTATAAGTTAATTAGGAAATAATAAGAGAAAAATACTAATTCACTATTGTCAGATATGTCTCTTTTATTAAAAAAAATTAAATGCATATAGTTTATGTTTCCAATGAGGTAAGTTAAGCATCCAATCTAAACCGTCAA